CATATAAAACAACAAATCTAAAAACACAATCTGGCTTACTTAGGGCATCAGTTTGAATTAAATTCTTGCCTGTCTTGGAGAAGAGAAGGCAATAATCAAAATTTGTAAGTGCAACATGCACTCCCTTTCCCAAAAGTTTTCAGCTGGTGTGTCACTAGCCACCCCCACACTTGGGTAGAACTCAGAGCATCGCCCATGCTAGGCAAGCACTCTACCACTGAGTTACATCCCCAGTCCTAGTTTTCACCAGCATCAGGGGTCCACTGAACTGTCCTTGAGTCCTAGGGTCTCAGAAGCTCCTCTACATTGTTGAACTCCTTGTGAGTCTCCTGTTTGTTCTGTACCATCAAGAAGCTCCAGGTCCCATGTTCATAACTTGCCACACCTGTAAGACTGGAAAACGCCGCACCACATGACACAGATTACCAAAGAGTTTTCCACTTAAACTCTTTGGTAATCTTGTGTCATGTGGTGCGGCGTTTTCCAGTCTTACAACACCTATTTATCCCCCATTCCTTTAGGACTACTCACATGTACATTACTCTCCTAAACTTCTTATTTCATGGGCTTGACTTTCCCCCTGAGTACACGGATTTCTGAAGACATAGTAGGCAATTCTGAAAGGGTGAATAAACAAGAAAGTAATCAGAAATCTAACTAAGAAAACCCTGGAAAAGAAGTTTCCAGAGCTATTTCTACCTCTACCCTGCTGACTTTGGCATCTCCGGCTGTGCTGTCCCCCTTTCCCTCCAAAAAAAAGTGCCTTTATATTCTCCAAAGAAGTAGCCTAAGAGATGAGATGGCTCTGAATTACTAAGAATCTTTTCTTCCTGGTTTTGGGATACCCTGAATGTACCCTCTTCCTCTTCCCCAACACACATGCAGCTTGAGTAGAGGGCTGGGATTATCATGCTTAAGCAATCTCTAGAGTTTTGCACTTCCAAAGAGTTTAGAGCTCCTAGTTTGTAGACATGGGTTAGGGGAGCTCTTCCAGATCTCCTGGAGGGTACCTTAATGTAATGATTTCTTCAGGAAAATTTAACAGATGGAAAAGTGACTCCCTTTGGAGCAGCATTTGAGGGAGTGGGGGAAAGGGATAAGTAATTGTTAGTGTGGAGATGATCATTTTGACATGAAGGCAGATACCAGTCTGCCTTCACTCATCTTCAGTGTTTAGCATTATTGTAATTCCAGCCTCTGCAGAGGCTGAGGAAAGAGGATTGCAAGCTCAAGGATGCAAACTACCCTTACACCTCAGGGTCTGGGCTGTCTGTCTTATTAGAAAACCTGTGGGTGTTCTCACTGTGCTGGGAACATCCCCTCTCACCCTAGATTGTGACCTGTACAACTGGGTGGTGCCTTTGGAAATTTACATTACTTGCATAGTATACTATGCTGAGCTTCTCTTTAGGTCCTGCATGTCTTGTTGCTAAATTTAGATGCAGCCTGCTCTTTCTTTCCTTTGTCTTGCAAAGGAGAATCAGAATTCTTTGGTTGCTCACTCAACCCCTCCCTACTTCTCCTGACTCTGATTGGTCTGTGGTTCTCTGAAATGTCCTGTTCTGCCCACTGTCTGTGTAAGGTATCTGCTTCT